CAAGCCCTTAAAGCTGTGTTACAGAGTATTGATTGACAATCCACTCGCTGATAACGTGTCGGACATAATGCTACACCCTGCTGTGGGATTCCCTTCACAGCCTTGGCTTCTTTTTTTGTTGTTGTTGTGGTCGTGGTGGTTGTTTTTTGTTTTGTTTTGTTTGAAACAGATGGAATGGTTTCTGGAAGTGGTATACATAATAGGCTGCATGTGCTTGGTGTAGGAAAGGCCAGAAACCTTGGATTGTGAGCAATAAAGCAAGAAAGGAGAATGAACCTCTCAGCAGAGGCTGTGGCACAATTAAAATCCTCGCAGCGAAGAACATAGTTAGATATTCCTGGCAGTCGAGAAATCTCCCCAATGTATTGGAAGTCTCTGCCCTCTACTGGCATTCCTCAAGATCAGCCTCAGCTCAGCTGTGGGAGTCTGTGATCACATCCCTGAAGAGTCCTCGCAGACAGTGTTGAGACTGGCCGTATTTATAAAGCAAATCCTTTAGAACGTGGTGTTTCAGGAAGTGCAAGAATGACAGTGTCTGACAGGGATCTAAATCTCAAATGACATTTGCTATTGACTTCTGCAATGCTTTTCAGATGTCTGCCTACTTCTCACCTTGTGTAACGCTACTAGCGTTAGTCTGAAGCATCTCCGTGTGCTATTACAGCCCCCATCTGTTTTCTTCCAGTGAGCCAACACAAGGAAGAAGAAACAAGAGAATAAATGCTACTTTTTGTTGTGGTGGTGGTTTTCATTCCACTATATATAAAAAAAAGTGTTTGTTTAACATAAATTATTTCAGCAAAAGATTTCAAAGTGCAATTTTGGGTGAATGTAGAACTGCAACTGCTGCATGACTCAGCTACCCTCGTATTTGGAAACCATTCCGTCTGTTTTCCTTGGGTGCAGAGCATAATTTTAAACCTTCATTTTGTGGCAAGTGCTATTAGCCAATTGGTAGAAAACAAATTTTCCCATAAAAATGTAACTTTGAAAAACTAATTAAACCTGTCGGTAAAATACGTTAATTTCACTTCACAGTGAAATCTGAAAGCATTTCAGACTCAGCCCTGCAATGAACTAAAGGTTCTGCAAAGCAACAGGACCATACCTGGGTCAGGCTTTGCAGGATGGCAGCCTCAGTCCGAACAGCAGCTCACGTTCTCACCCACTTACGCCTGAAATGTCGGAAACAGCTTCGTGCCCAGTATTTGGAGGTCTTTGGATCTGTAATCATACTACTAATACTCTTCTGTACAAGTCTCTTTTATATGTACTTGTGCATTTATTAACATCGACTTTTTCTAAATCTGTAGGAGAAAAAAATGTTCATAGAGCATGGACCTATCCCGCCGCCATGGCATTCTGGCAAAGATGTATTTTGTCTCTGCACATTTGTACCCGATGCCATGTGTAACAGCCGCCCCAGTTTCGGGTAATTGTATCTATCTGTGTATGGATGTACCATGCAACTGCATCGTCTTCCCAAAGGCACATTGGCTCAGGTCTGAAACATCCCTTTTCTAGGAACAAGGGGTAGACTGCTACACCTGTGAAAACCAGAATGTTGGGCACAAATGGGTCAGGGTGCAAGAGCAGGACTGATCTGTGTGGCATGATTTGTGTTTTATTTTTCTCCAGGCCTTACTGACCTCTTTCTTTAGTAAACAGTAGTATGCATCTTCGAAAGGAGGCTGTATAGAAAAGTGCCTTACTAAACTGGCTCTGTGCATGTGGTTTTTTTAATACAACACCAGTTGTACAGTCCTAGATAAAAAACCTGATAAATTCAGCTGCTTAATATCTGAATGAAATTAATAAATACTGCATTCCTCAAATTAAAGGAGGATAAACTTCTTACCTTTACAGTATTACATTGTCATTGATGGTGCCATATCAATAGTAAAATATGCTCAACAGTTCAATGAATTTCAGTGGAAATTCATTGGGTGTTGTACTTCAGTAAGAAGCACTAGGTTGTTCCTGCCCATGGCAGCGGGGTTGGACTAGATGACCTTCAAAGGCCCCTTCCACCCCAAACCATCCTGTGATTCTGTGATTCTTCACAACAGACCCACAGTCTCCAGTTGTGTCTATGTGTTTAGTATGGATTAACTTCCCGCAGTTCTCACAGACTACACCTCTCCTCACTGCAGCACGAACAGATCTCTGAGCCTGCTGAAGGAGCCAGGCAACCCAGATGTTTGCAGTGTCAGGGTGTTTTTTTTCCCCCTAGACAATTACTTAACTGGAATAAAGTTTGTAGAGACACAGGATGAAACTGGTCATGTAAAGCCTCTTTTCCATCAAAACTCCCCAGGTTAAGCCTCTCACTTCTAGCAGCAAGCTTGACGTACGCTTGCCCACACCTTCATTCTCACTCTCAAGCTTCAACAATGCCATTTCCGTATCTTTCCACTTGTACCTGCAATTGATAAAATCACCCAGTCAACAGTCTTCCATTCATAGTTGTGTTTTAACACTCTTCACTGTTTCACAGTCAGCATATTTCACCAGTCTCACATTGCTACCGTCAACCTATTATTGTTTCCAATAGCTGTATTACTGCTTCTTATGCAGTAGGCACAAGGTGAATGAGGACACTAGGGTAGACACCTTCCATGGAACAGAGAAGTTGCTCATGTTTTCTAGCATTCTTCCCCCTTCAAGCAAGAGTGGAAGAAGGAAGGCTCAGTTGAGGACAAAGTTCCTGTTACTATGTTCACAGTCCATTCAACATGGATTTCTTCCATCTCATGAGATTATATACAGCTACTCTGTCTTACAATAACCATAGTCTTTCATTCAATTAGCTGGGTGAGGGCAGTTGTCAGGAGATGCACAGCAGACCCCTGTGAGGCACTGAATTGGCACTGGAGCTAGAGCTGAGCCCATACAGCAGCACAGAGCAACTGGTGGCGCTGCTTTATATTCACCACTGTCCTACGACAGGTGTTCTGCTGCTAGACCTGTGCGGATGCACACACGCAATATGACATGGAGGCAGATGACCAAGCAGTTTAGGTCTCCACAAGCTTAGCGACCCTCTCCTTTGCATAGTGTAGACGCCTCTCCTGTTTTTGAGGCCCTATCTCTAGTTGACGTTGGCAAGAACATACCTGAAGCATCTAGGTCAGAACCACAGATTTGCCTTAGGTTTTCCTACCAGGACCGTCAGGTCTTTCTAGTGGAGAAGGAGGAATTAATCTAGCTTCTGAAATGTGTGGATCACACCTCATTGTCTTCTTCTGACCTTTTGTCCTCTACCAAAGTTTAAACATCATTTCCCACTTTGCTCCTGTATAATCTCAGGGTCACAACTTAAATCCACGTGACCAATGACCAGCCATTTGCCTTTTTCACCAGGTTATTAATAACAACATGAAGGTCCATGTATGTATGCATTATCTACAAGAGATGCCTGAAAAGCCCCTGTAACCCTCACCAAATAAGAGATTCTCTGCTCACCTGAGTCCTTTTTACTTAGTCCCATCTTCTGCCACAGCAAGTTCTGCAAAAGCATCCATGAGCCATCAGCCTGCTAGGTCCTTGGCCCTGTGGTCTTACACAGAGCTGCATTCCCTTCACTATTCAAGTTTGATCTGCTCTTCAGGGAGCTTGAGAGACACAATTCAATAGGTGTTTGCAAGACAACACAAGGCAGCAACCTGAAAGCAACTTGGAAATTCAGCTAGCTTGGCAAATGAAAGCCTTCAAATCAGGTGAGCCTGTAGTACAATAGCTCTTCCCTTTTCCATAATAATCGAATAACACCTCAGTGTTTCATTCCTTATCAGTGCCTTGCAGTTTTTGTCTGTACTCTTCACCTGTAGAAATTGCTGGTCAAACAGTATGGCTGCAAGTCTTCCATTTAAAACCAAAATCAGCTTCATGAATTGATAATTCTTGACTGGCTTGACAGGGCATAAAAATTCCCCTCTACACCTTTGTATCCAGCAAAACAAAACGAGTAAAGGGACCGTCGTCCCAAAAGAGGCAACCACACAGCCATATGACCATATTAAAATTGACATGGGGACATGTGAGCTTCTCCTAGTGGGAAGAGGGGAAAGGTTTCCCAACTCATGGCAGCAAATCCTTCCCCAACACAACCCTGAAGTTAATTAAAAAAAGTGCATGGAGAGAATGTACATACAATTTTGCCTATTCAGTTGTTTTCAAGATGTTCCAAAAAACCTGACAGTACTGGTTCCATGTAAACCTATGCTCAGAACAGACAATACCATCACTCTGTGACCAAACTGTATTTCTGTGTAATGTAGCTGGACTAAAGAAAACATTCACTCCAGCTCAAGGCCTGCCTCTATGCACGGCTAGTAGCTCTCTTGCACCTCTACCACAGAAATGCATTTTATGCAGCGTGATCAGAAGGAAATAAGTTAAAAAATTAAGTCTTTTGTCATAACAGAACTGCAAGTTCAGTTAAACTGATTAAAATGTTACCCAGATATTTGGATTACAGTGATGGAGACAGCCAGTACATAAAACCATATACATTTATTTAGCACAAAAAGTTCCATATTCAAATAGAAGTCCATGTGTGCTTTTTCTAGTACTTCTTTATAGCACTTTGTTTTTTGAAAAAAGTAAAGAACCATCATGACCAACACAAAGACATACTAATCATATGGCAGAATGACTGTTTCATCCTACAACTGCTGGCCCGATAGCAGCTTATAAACTGTAAGGCAAATTAGGAGCTCCTTCTCAAGTGCGTAATCTCTATATGGTTCCATTAACTCAAGTGGAACACTCGCAAGAAAACTGTTACAAGACTAGGACATTATATATGACTGCAGTGTTTCCTATAATTACAGCCAACATAATATGCAGGGGTGGCGTTATATTCTCAGACAGAAAAAGACAGACAGGCTACTGAAAGATGCACAGTAAGTTGCGAGAAAGACTTACTGACTGAGAAAAAAAATCAAACCATTATGTACGTGATTACATGATACAATTAAGCACAATTCCCATTTCAGAGACAACAGGTAAATCAACATATAATGCTCAGAATTAGGACATCTACAGACTGTAAAGCCTGCAACCGTCATTTAGAGACAAATACTTGATACTTGTTGATAAGCAAATGCTGATAGCTCACGACTGACAGCACAGAAGCATCACTTGAAATTGGATTCCATTAATGACATGACGACAATCACTGGATACAGACAACCATACAAATTATACTGGGAGACAGATTTTCCCATAGATTCTCCTTTGCTCAAGTTCCACCACCATAAGTGACTGACATCAAAGATGTGCTGCAATTAGTTCAGTCTTCCCTCCTGTAGTTATCACCTGGATTAGACTCCCTGAGTTTGGTCGATTCTTTCCCGTTATCCAGTCGTAAAAGGTTCTGTTTTAAAATAGATGAATAAAACAGGGTGAGTAGGAGGAGGAGGAAAAACCAACAACCTACTACTAATCAGGTGCATTGATGGGAAGCACAAAATAAAATCCTATTACTTCTCCTTCTTGTCCTATTGCCCTCTCTAGTGATTTCTATGTACGTTGTGAACTAGCAATGCCATCACTGGAACCAGACAGAGGCACAAAGAAATCAGTGGGGCTTTACAGCGCACACACAGGATGTTCAGAACATCTCAAAAGGAAAAGGCCAGAAGCTTAAAACGTCAAAATGGCCAACCAAAGTGGAAACTTTTTTCCAAGTTTTTGAAAAGGGGAAGGAGAGGCTTCTTAAATTGCCTTTATAGTATATAGCAGAAACATGGACTTAGACCTAAAACAGAGTTGCTAAACCCATTACTCTGCCAACAGGCCATTGTAACACTTAGACATTTAACTGCAAAAGCAGTCTTGGCAGAAGCACAGAAAGCCGTAAGGCATGCAAAACAGTGCCGAATAAGATGGACTCATTCTCAGTAGTACACCAGAACACTCCTTATCAAAATGTAATACAAACTCCTTAGTCAAAATGTAATACAGAAAGTGCAGTATATTTTTCAGGTCCATCAACCCTTCCACTACTGCAGACACAGCAACTGCCATGTTGGAACATCCTGTTATCTGACACAATGGCTTCCGGGGCACAAAATTCAAGTGCCATATAGGAAAAGATTTCCTGCATCCTTCCCAAGATGTCACCAACACTTAACAACATTGGATGTTTTTCTTCCACAGCCAGTGAGATATTCATTTTTCAAAGCTGGATTTAAAGTTTAGGGAATTAGAACCAAACAAACCAGTCAAACTAATTCTCCCATAAGGAAAAAAAAACTTAAAAATTAAAAAAAAAAATTTGTAAAACCACATCTGGCTAAGCCATCTCTGGAGCACAATAAATTAAAGATTTTTTTTTGAACATTTTTAGGTCAACTAAATTCAATTGATGGGGCCCTTTTAAAGAGCCACAAACAGCTGCATAGGCTTCTCACAACAAAGACCATTTCCCACTCTGACATCCAACTTTAAAAAAAAGAAAATCACACAAAAGGAAATCCAATGTCAGAACTAAACTATTCTCTGAACAATTAGCCACAGGTAAAAGCAATTTCAGTGTCAGTTCTACGAGACCTTAAAAATTTGTGAGCGTAAAGCCCTTTCCAATGTACAAATGTAGATTCATCTTTGTTTTTCCTCACAGAGGCAAGACAGTCATGTCCCGATTTTCTTCCTTTTGACAGCTCACCCTCAGCAGAACCTTTCCTACCCCCCATCACGTCGCAGAAAGCAGTACTTACGCTGCACCTTCTCTAACTGAAAGGTATGAGAAACAGTAAGCCTTGTAATCTCAGCCTGCTGTCACATAAGATACAGCTGAAGCTTCAGCTTTTTGCAACATCATTCAGGACACGCCTTTGTGGAGGATGGCAAACAACAAAAATTCTTGACTAAATTTTTCTGAACAAGAGCAGGAATTTTGCCAACTGAGAGAGGTGAATTAGCACACCACAGACTGGGCAGTAAAGTGTTGAAAAGAAAAAAAAAATCCCAACGTTTACATGCCTATTTGCAGTTTACCTTTACGCCAGACTACTGTCTCCTGCATCTGCTGTCTCCAATTTAATTTGTCTACAGGCTTTATGAGATTCTCTGGTACAGGCTTTATGAGATTCTCTGGCTTCCAACTACTTAAGGCTATCTCCCTTGTTGGAATAACTGGTGTAGAGATGCTGACATTGATGGAGTCAGGCTAATTTTCTCCAGTTAAGAAGCTTGTGCAATAAACCCAATGTGATTTAGGAAAATACACAACAAGGGCGTTACAGAAGGGAAAAAACCCACCCAAATCCAAGACAGCCATTTAAAAAGAACATGCAATAAGATACAGCAGCAAAAGGGACAGTGAGGAACTATCAGTTATCACATGGATACTCACTCAGCAATGAAGTCTAAGGGTGTCCAGGAGCTGAAATCCGCATCAGGCATTGATTTCCTGTTTGCCGGTGTATCTAAGGTAACACTGTGATTAAAAAAGATAAGCCTTTTATTCATACATCATGTTTCTGATGAGTGCCACCTGCTTCTATTCATTTCTCTAACATGTGCTTGACTTTTATACCACGTGGTATGGATTTCCCTTGCATCCTCTACATGTGTTAACAGCATATAGCCATCAGTTTTAATGCGTATCAAAGGCTCCAATCTATAACCCCTCACCTTCCTGGCTCACTGATGACATACAGCCCATTAGGGGTATCATTTAGCCCACAGCTCCCTTCCAGTCTCTCATGCAGACAGGGAATGGCAGTTAATATGCTTGTTCACATGTACTGCACAGCATATCTGTGCTACATCCATACTTTCAAACAGCCCCACGCCAGCTGCCAATGCAGAGGTTAAGTGCAGAAGCATAGGAAGTTTTGACTTTGATGATACATATTTACACTATATACAATGTTACTGAGGGGTGAACTTTTCACAACTCCCCCACTGAGATGCTGTTGACAATCCAAGGTATCATTACTCCCTTGAAAATTCACTCAAGAACAGAGTTTTGCATGAGAACTATGCAAGTGCAGAATGCCCAAAAATCCAGTAATCTTGGTGTCTGCCTGTCTGTAAAGCTCTGTAGAAGGCAGTGTCAATTATACAAACATTTTTAATGCCGTCGCTCTCTGACCTGAAGAAGTATGCATAAGAGCGTGTATATGAGGAATACAGAGCAGGGAGAATTCAGGTAGTGTTCCAAATCCCTATACAGAACTCCTTAGTCTTAAGTAAAGACCTGGCAAGAAAAATACTTTTAATTTTTGCAGCAGAATTAATAAACTTTGACATAGTGAAGACCTGCTAGGTCATCCACTTTTTACTAGTTTTCCTCATCGAAAAGAAAGCTGTGACAGGCAAATATAAGCTAAACTTTTTATCTTCCCAGATCCTCAAAGTAACCTAATTTTACTGATCAAGCACTGATATGCAGAACCTTATGAAGAAGCATCTTTAACCAAGTCAAAAATTGTCAATTAATCTTTTGCTTTACTATTATCACATAGTCAAGTCTAAAACTGTGCTGAAGAGCTCATCTCTTTTTTGGAATTCTGTCTACATTGCAAAAATGAAAAAAAAAGAAAATCACACATTAATGCATGTCTATGGTTAAACTTGTTAAAAGCAGATCAAATTTTAATCCTAACATTCACTACTGTTTTGCAAAGGAAAGGAAGAGAACTTAATCATTTTTTAGGGTGACTTGTGCATCATTTTGTTCATACATTCAAGATGCCTCCATTCTCTGTGGAACTCTAAGTAGGTTTGGGCAGCTGTTTGTGTAGTGTGAGCAGAACATTGCAAGCATGTCCACATGACTCTAGGTTACAGCAGCAACTAAATAAAACAACACAGGCAGAGGCAACTATGCAACCACTTACGGTAAAATGGCAACAGCAGCAGAACCAGATGGCAAGCCACTACTGGCACCAGCTAAACTCTGACAAAGCTGATGCACTGCTCCTTTGGCCATGCCATAGCCAATCATTCCTAACAATTAAAAAGAGGCAAATTAGAGCACAATCAATACAGCACTCAATATCATCAGTAGTATGACAGAAATTCACATTGTTTAATGAATATTAAGACCGCTTACCACAGCCAGAACAGAATCGAACTTTTAAAACATCAAAATATACACACTAAGAGAAAAAAGGGAGAAGGGAAAAACCAAAAAGCTCTTACTAGACATCCAGGAACTATCACAGAACTCAGTTTACTCAGCACTATAGAAATAAGCAGCTTACCAAGTTAAGTACATTTAGTTAATGTACGCAAATGTACCCTGAAGGATAGGCCTACAGGGCTAACCTTACAAATCTAATAGAGTAAGTGTGAAGATGCTCATAGACTTTAATAAAGTTAATCATCCATTAATTTTAATCACATGACTAAGGTATTTTCAGGTTTTGACCCAAACAGATACAGCTCACTTCTCTCCAGAACTGCAGTTCACTTGGTCAGCACCCCAAGTCTGACAGGCCCTTTGGAGAAAACTACAAAAGCAAACCCCCTCATGGTAGAAAACTACTAAATAACCTGAAGGTAAAGCAAAATTCTTCCTAAATACTGTTGCTTTCTAGGCGGACAGTATTTAGCAGTCTAAGAGCAACAGGAACGAGAGCATAAGGCACACAGGTCAGGCAAAAGATCTGGGCAATCAGGGTGCTATAGATACCGGGAGACATCTCAGACGATCTGCCAAGCAGTCCAGACACAGGTTAAGGACGTAAGAAAACATAAACGTATTTTGTCTAGTACAACTGGATGCCTTTCTACCCATCTATACAACTACACAACCCCATTCCCATGTTCCCTAAAAAGCATTTTGTATTAAAGTTACAAAGGTAATTTTGCGCTGTAAATGCGTTTCCATTACATTCAGTTAGACATATTGTATAACATCCATTTTTATTAGGAGGAATCATGGCCAGCAGCAGCTAACTTATTTTATTGTTATGCTAAAAATATTTGCATCTCCATCACATTTCCCTCTTGTCTTGTCTAAACCAAACATTCCAAGTCTTCTTAAGCCTTTTCATGCTTCTACATTTCACAACCATCACTGTCAGACCATGTCTGTAACCGTTTATGTAATTTTCAGTATTCCTCAGTTTCCATTATGCAAGTCAACATTTTCACAGAGGAAAAGAAAAAAAAAAAATATTATACTAACAGCAAACAAGGAAGACTGCTCCTTCCATAACAGCGGGTAGTAACAAGCCTAACAAGTCATATTTACAAAAATTGAGTAACAATTCTTTCCCAATTCTTCCTCATGTTAATAAGTTGCATGTGTTTGCCCAAAGCACTGCTGTGTTTTTTAGAAAAATCCAGACTTGTTGAAAACAGCTAGTTCAAAACATGAAAGCAAATCACTTTGATTCCTGTGTTGTGGTCCCTACCTCCCAGAACCACACAAACAAGAAACATGACAATTCGCAAGAGTTCACATTTTTTCATTTGTATATGGTCAGTCAGTAGTACACAGTAAATTATTCATCTGCTTATTCTCATAAAATAAAACCTTTTATCTTCGGACTATGACAGATGCAGCTGTAAACATAGAAGATAAATCATTAACTAGAAAATATAGCATATTTTTCCTAAACAGTTTTACACACAGCTTTCAGGAATATTCATAAATTTTATATGTTTTAAAATTGTAGTATCTATGTCTCATCAAAATATTATTGAAGTCACACTAATAAAAGATTGGGAAATAAGAGTATTTGTCTCAAAAACTTTCCTCTCCCTGCCTGTGGGCTTGTGTGTCAGTGCTTTTTTTTGTTTTAAATTGCTCCCAGCTTTCTCCCTCTGTGCAGACCAACACAAGATGAAAAAAAAAATTCAATAAAGTTTGTATTAAATAGCTAGTGGAGGGCAAAGATGAAGGTCAACATGCTTATCTGTGTCTGAAGCAAAGGTAGACTGGAATCAGAACACGAACAGGACGAGCATAGTTAACAGAATCAGCCGAGTCATCACCAACAGAAAAAATGGGCAATTAAGGACTCTGCCTTTCAGAACACAAATAGGAGATTTAACTTTATTTAAGCACTGTACTTGCAGCTTGCTGTGTGCTCCTATTCATTATTTTCCAAACTCTTTTTTTTACTGTATTATATATTAGCCAAGTACATTTCACCAATGCATGTCAAATATTATTTAAATACTGATTCTATCAAAAAGAAGCACTGCAGCTTCAAGAGATTCAGTATTGCTACCTATAAAATTACACTTTCCTTAAGTGTTTGAGCAGCAATTTTCCATTTGTACTAGACATCAAGAAACCGGGGAGTGAAGCTGTTGCTTCACAAACAAGAATGCTCAGACTAACAGACAGCTGTAACTGCTGATGTTGCAGTGGTTATCATGCATTGCATTTTACCTGGGGTTCCAGATAAAGCAGCTTGAGCTCCTGTCAAAGTCAAGAGGCCGCCTTCTTTCAGATGCTTTGTGGCTAGGTGGCTGGAAATAGTCGATGTCCAGATGCTCTGCTTCCACATCAGATCACAGTTTTTGTATAAAGCTGATTAGGAAGAGAATTAGTGAAGTTAACTAAAAGATAGAAGACTTGTAACTCTCATTTCCTTACTGTCACACAGAGTGCAACAGCACTATACAATGGGACTATGAAAACATGCTTTCTACTTCCACATTGGGTAAAACATCAGTTTATGTCTTCTACCTCCCTTCTATTTGGGCTCCTAATGCCAGCTTTACAGCATATATTCCAGGCAATTACCTTTCTTGCTAGCAGAAATAAAAAAGCCAAACACACATAAGATCGTTCCATTAGCTCTCCATTAATGGTTCAAAGATTTTCCAAGTTGTTGAAAATTCTGTAGGGGTTGCCTAAATCTATGTCGAGGATCTCAGAACTCTCACATTAGCTTCATCTCACCCTGTAGCAGCATAATCTGTCTCTTTCTGTAACTTCCTCACTGGCTGCAAAAGAGCTATGCTCCATTACTATGCGGATAGAAGACTCCAAGAGGTAAAGGAGTTGAACAAAAAATATTTCGTATCACCAGATTACTTCTTAAACTAAGACACAGTCTGTCTGTCTGATCATTCTGGTATGGAATATTAAAGATGCATCCACCTGCACTGTACTGAGTGCGCATTGCAGTACCGCTACGTACTGGAGTGCAGCCTCTAGTAAGGCAGCTGACTGGGGGAGATACACCAGTAACTTCAAACGACAGCAAAACCTGAACTCTCACCATTGCTTTTTACTATCAATATCTGCATGGGAAAACAAGAAAAACAACAGCTAGCCATGTCCAAGATTTTAGTGTTCAGAAAGAACCATTTCCATAACACAATATGGAAGAAGCGTAAATAACTCTGTGATTTACACATGGCCTTTCCATATTGCCTCTCTTTAAAAAGAAATCTTTCCCTGTAATGTCCAAACTGGAAGGGGGGGAAGAAGAGGACACATTTTACCAGATTTACTCCAGACAGAAAACAAGGCTGTTTTTTTTAAACTTGTATCTCTACACTAGTGGGTAAAGTAGGAAATTTCATTCTGAATATTACATGTTTAAAAGATTTTTTTTAAACAGAAGGCTTTTTTCCGATCTCTGGTCATTAGACAGCTCCTTCCAATGCTGTATTGCACAGTAATAACTCAGAGAACTGCAGGAGGCAACTGAGGTTTTATGCATAAAGCAACGAATCGGGAAACAACATCAATGCTTCCTACCCAGCCACCATCTTACGGACCTTGCCTGACACAGGTAACCTTGGCAAAAGTTAGTTCACAGATAATAACGCTGAGCTTCATAATGTGCATCAAGATTCTTCTGATGAAAAATGGTGCCATCAGGAAGTACTACTGAGAATCTAAGTGCTGTGCAAATTTAACAGATAGGAAAAACCTCACAGAAGTGCTAAGAAGCCTCGTGACTGAGCTATTTTGTACTTTTACGCTCATGTCCTCTTCTAGACTCAGGAAGCAAGATGATCCCAAATAGCTTTATTACCATGATTTTTAAGGATTCCCCTCAGATTTGTTCATGTGTTCACCAGCATGCATGTACCAAAGGCTTACATTTAGATTTGGCACTGCCTCCAGCCCATCCTCCTGCTACACACAAGATTGCATCCACCTTTTCTTCACCAAGAAGTTTTCCAACCTCTGCTGTCACCTTCAATATACAGAACAAAAACATACTGAAAACACTAGACTGATAAAATAAAGAAGTAAATATCAAGACTGCCTTAAAGTTACTTTTTTCCAGTTATGTGGCTGAGTAACACAACACATAGCAATTTAAACAGCTGCAGAGTGATCATTTATGATCTATGAACTCAAAACAAAATGATTGTATCTATAGGTAACTGTAAATGAAAGTCAGACCATGCAGTGCATGATGTCACTGGAAATAACCGACTTGGGCAGGACTGAAAGATCTGACCCTTACCTGTACAAATAACAAAAAGTTTTATTTGTGACTTGCATTTCAACAGGTTCTTCTCTGGGTATGGTGCTGTTTAATATGGGAAATGAAACTCCAGGTCTGACCAGGACTACTGCTGTCACTTTTGATGACAGTGCAAGAAATGAACTACAGATTTGTGTGTTCAAAAAACATGTAGACGTGGCACTTCGGGATATGGTTTAATGGGCATGGTGGTGTTGGGTTCATGGGTGGACTTGATGATCTTAAAGGTCTTTTCCAACCTTAATGATTCTGTGAAAGATGAGCCTTCTTATTGCTCCTATCTAGACCACAAACATCAGTTTGAGTCTGGCTCCTAGATTTGAGTTCGTGTACTTTTAGATATCCAGTATCTTCTTCTCTTTCAGACATAAGACTTCACAGTAGGTAATGAATTCACTGGCTATGAATTTTCTCTGCCAAACTGAAAAGCAAGCAATCCATCTCTCAGCAAAAAAAAAAAATCCACTGGTTTTCACAAGGGCTCAGCATTGAAAAATATGTTGCAAACATTCTACATTATTCTTTAAAAGCCTTAACAGTTGTGTAGATATAAAGAAAACATATTGGTTACTGATCCAGTTTAATCAATAAGAGTAAAAAAATAAATCCTACCTCTTGAGAATAAAGCAGAGCCGTTTTAGGCTAGCTTGGGTTCTCCCATATTTACCTTTGCGGAAACCAGTGCATTCCCTAGGGATCCCACCGGGGCTTAGGGTTTCCATACTTTGAGACCATCACCTATCTACATAAAACGCATTTAAGAGTTAGGACGCTAGAAAGAAGTGTTGCGTTTTAAGATGTCCTAAACCATCTTCATTATACTCATCTGATTCAGCCTGCGACTTCTCAAGTCACCAAGAGAAAAATAATGTAAAGCTGCCTTAAGTGCTGAACTCGAACGTCCCAGGTCAAGCTCTTTCTGCGCATTCATGCATGCATGTAAAAGGAAACGACAGAAAAAAGAAAAAGCGGCGCGCAGCGGCCGAGGTCTTCGGGATCACCGGGCAGCAGCA